GCTTAAAACCAATATTTGAATTACATTCATGCATACATGCTATGCTATGTAGCACAATTTGAATCAAAACACAGCTAGATAATAAAGAAGATAATTTGTGGCATCATGGATGAAGAAATTTGTACTGCGTAAGTAGGTTTTTGGAAAAATGTGATTAATGCAAGAAAAACACACAATGCATGACGAACTTACCATTTTTACTTGTAAGTTTGTTGCCCAAACATGTGGTTTATATGCATTTCATACCCTTCATTGCCATTCACCTTCTTGCCTTTGATTCCATAAACTGTGCTGTCAAAATACATGAGAACAATCTCCATGAGGTAATGACTCAATATGGAATCAAATATTTCCTCATGTACCCGGGGTGGAGTGCAAAATGTTATGTAAATCCCCTTAACGACCTTTTCAGGCTGCCGACAATCACCATACAAAGGTGATTGGCAGCCGACACCGGTGCACATTTATCCTTTTGCGCCAGCCTGTCTCTCTCTGTAGCGCCCCCTACTGTGAGAGGCGTGGGGTAGGGTGCCCAGTGGCACTTGTTGCCAATGGATGAAGCCAGCATGGATCCTCTCATGGCAACGATGCTGGTCGTTGTAATAATGTTTGGTTTGTTTCCTGCTTTACACCTCCTTTGGGATTTTGCCCGACCTATAATCCAGGACATGAGACGCAGAGGGAGGCGTCCCATGCCTGTCCATCCGAGTTCCAGCACTGCTTAGCCCAAACCAGCTCCTTTGTACGATTCACACAGCAGTCTATTGGTTGCCTGTGGGCCATTTCATAATGTGCATATATTATCATGAATATTATGATTATTGAAACCTCCACCACACCATTTACACAAACTCCAAATCCAAAATAAGTTATTTGAATACATTTATATATAAGGATTTGAAGGCTGACAAAACTGCAGATAACATTTCTCTCTTATGCATGAACTCTTATGCATACGCACACATTATCTCCCTCTGTCGCCGTCACACACACACAAACACACACACCAGATCAGCGTTCCCAAGCCCCTTACTGAGTGTTTTTATCCTTGCAAGGCCTCCTCTCAGAGGGGAGTAAAGCCACTACTGAGATCCTTATACCACTTCCTACTGAGAAGCTTGTTTTGCTCCTTGGCAGCCCTCTTCCATTCATAAACTGCAGACAAGCATCACTCTCTGCCTCATCAGAAATAAACGTATTTTGATTTGGGCATGACTGACTCTGCGACTTGGATAACGCCTCTCAGGTGACGATGTAGTCTGTAGACATTGCCCAGAAATTTACTAAAAGTGTATTTTTCCTGCGAAAAAAGGGGCTACATTGAAAATCTGATACTGTAGCTGTACCGTCTGTAGCCTTGACCCCCAGGTGGGAACATGTGTTCTGGGGACACATCTTACAGAAATAAAGAAGGGATTTAAAAATGAGAAAGAGAGAGAGAGAGAGCGCACAAGTGCGTGTGTGGAAGAAAATTTGTCAAAGCTTTTACACAAGTGGGGCCATCAGAATTTGTTTGTGTGTTTGTGTGTGTGCTTTGAGGGGGTGATATATACACCCCCTACTGTCCTATTTCTAGTCCACATCACAACTGTCAGTAACTAGTGAGATATGAAGCCGAAAAGGAGAAACGATGAAGGAGGGGAACCCTTCAAATGGATATTACCGCCGTGTTTGCCTGTGGAGCATGGAAAGGTGGATTTAGCACTACTAGGATCTTTTCTGTACCCTCGGCTCACTACATGGTACGTTATAAATGCATATTATGATCATTTCAACCCAATAAAGTGAGCTTTTTTCAATTTTAGTTAGAATCCTCACAAAATAAAAAAAGGTCAGCTGCTATTGAAAATATTCGTGAATCTTGAAATGATCCTGTAGATTGCTTAACATTATTTCTACATCATGTCTTTGAATTCGAAATGTTAGAAAACAACAATGGCAACCCGTCTACAGCGGTTTTCAGCCCTCAGGTATAATATTTCAACAACGGGATTATCTCCAGTCCCAATTCATGAATTTGGCTAAAGCAGAAGATACCGGAGTAATAAAATAACATTTTGACAGCTTTCATTGCATGTGTTCTCCCTGATCTGTGTTGTCTCAACCTCGGTGCCTGCACCTGTGCTCTGACTCTGTGCAAAGAAGAGAATGAGGGTTTGACTTTTGTTTTTCACAGCTGTATGGAGGATCAACAAATCAAACAGCTTATAGCTACTGTTTGGTTCGTGTCTTGTGAAACTATTTTTAAAGCCAATTTTTGTAGTCTGTGTCATATTTTGCATTGAGGAACTACAGTTCACAGTGCAGCGTTGAAGTCCTTGGCCCGTGCTTTTCATGTTTTTTTGCTGTAAGTTAAGCAGTGTGGTGGTTATTGGCCCAACTTGTATAGTTACAACTTAAAAGGAAAGTCACTCGCCTAAAAGTAAAGATGCTAACCAGTTCCAATGTTACACGACAGGTTTTGCTCTCATACCAATGTTTTTAAATTGGAGCAACTTGACATGGCATTAAATATCACTATTTAGAAAATGTATTTGCTTTAGGTCATCAAACATTATAGTACAATGTTGAGAGTGAAGTGTGTGACTGTGTAAGTGTGTAAGCGACGCCTTTTATGAAGCCAATTTATATATTTCGCTTGAACGTATACGTGTAAAAAGCCATGCTTTTTCAAGCAAAATCGTCTTTGTGACTGCGGTTGTATAGATATTCATGACGCGAAGAGAAGAACTGTGACTGGCTGCTGAGAGCTAACTTTACCGAGTCTGCTAGATAGCTCTTAGCTAACTTATCTGAATCAATATCTGAATTTACCCTGTTATCACATCACGCTCTCACGTGTGTCCGTGAAGTGCTAGTTTTTTAAGAACCATATTTCATTTTACAAACTGCACATATAATGATATCACAGATTTATGTTTTTTTTTCTTTTTAGATAGTAACACATCTCACATTTCAACACATATTTACCGACTTATACACACACTTAATGTACCTAAATACACACTGCTGCATGCGTGCATACACACCCCCAGCCAACAGTCTACACTTATCTACCTTCAGTCATACTTCCAACTCAAGTCTAGTGGGATGGATTGCATTGTTTCAAAGTGAGAGATGAGAGACTGCCAGTGTTTGGAATTTTTTTTCAGCTGAGCCACAGACAGCAATTTTTATCTTTTCCAATTTCAGAAATGGCATTAAGTCCCGCAGCCAGGATGTGTTTAAGTGGGGTGCGCATTTTTTTCATAGGAAGAGAATTTGATGATTGGCAATTATAGAGGCAAAGGAGATTACAATAGTTTGTCATTCTAACAGCCTCTTCAGGGATACCAAAGATGGCAATCTGAGGCGATGAGTCCAGAGTCAGTTTCAATATCTCCGATGTAAAATCAAAAAAAGACCTTCGGTATTCCACCAAGTTCAGGCATGACCAGAACATCGGAAACAAGTCTGCTGGTGCCTAAGAGCATCTGGCCAAATATGGCCTTTTGACAATTCAGTAACTGCAAGTAGATGGTCAATGTCAGAGGCCGGTGGAGCCTGCAGAAACACTAAGTTGTTGGATTTAGCAACGTTACACAATTTAAGTATAAATATAAGTGGAGCACATTCATTTTAATCAATTGTGCTCTACCTAAAGAGAGGGATAGACTGCTCCATCTCAGCGAGAGTGAAATTCTTTGTTGTGAAAATACTGCACAAATTTTGGCAAACGTCTAATTTACTAAATACGACTTTGTAGACAAAAAATAACAAACCACCTATCTACCAAATATCACTGTGTTTACCAAAATGCAACTTTTAATAGAACTGAGAAACTGTCTTGTCTATAGATTTACTGTCATGTGTATTTTGTTATTTTGAATAGATTTTGTTGAAGAATCTTAACAATGCTTCTCAGTAAACACCCGACACGCACACATAGAAAAAGACAACAGTTGCTGTGAAAATAAGTTGAAAGGGATGGCAGGGGAAAACCACAAATTATGGTTGCAGAGTGAGACAGCATTATGAGCCTTCCCTGTGTGGTCCATCAACAACTATAGACCCTTCTCCCCTCCTGCTGCTCTCTCCTGCCCTTCCACCCTCCTGCTGCCCCCTCTGCTGGGGGTAGCAGGCATAGTTGACCCTGGTTAAAATTCAACTGGCCCAACAATAGCATGGATAGACTTGTCCTTAATGACCTGGTTGAGGATCAAAAGGAAGTGGAAGTAGCATAGTTTGAAAACAAATACCTCAATAGATTTTAATTCACTTTAGATAGTACAGTATAAAAGATCAAAGGTCATCACCAGGATGCTCCCTAATAAAACAAGCCCTCTCTATGAACATCATCTAGAGTCTAGACACCTAATACACACAAATCATGTTGTACGTTCGACTATTCAGTGAATGTGTTATGTTTATGAGTCAGTCCCTTTAAAAATAAACATAAATTGTCCATCCTTGCCAAATTAAAATGACTGATATGTGGATGAGGAGATGCCAGCAAGATGGGCCATTATTGTACTCTGTACGCTGATTTAAAATATTTGTGGTTAAATGATATATTGTTGATCATTTAAATGGCAATAGGTTCAATAATATTTAAGAATGATAAGCAGTATACAGAGATATAGATTATGACACATTATAACACAGTAAACTAAGTAGAACAAGTAAAATAACTATATCATACCCTGTAAGTCCAGCAGCTGAAAGCTCTGGGAAAAGTCCACTAATTGGACCTGGAGTTAAATTAGTTTTATTAAACCATTATTCAAATATTAACCTTTAAGCTCAACATATCGTCATGAGTTTAGAAAGCAGTTTTAAATCTGCCTGTGAATGGTTTTTACATGTGTTTTAACAATCCTTTATAACACACTGTAAGGGTTTGTTGATGTGTGTAATCATTAAATAAGAGCGTGTGTGTGTGAGTGTAATAATAGAAAAATATTAACCAATAAATAATCATTCTCCCCTCAACCACAGGGGGCGACATCTTCCAGCTTTGACGGAAGTTTTGCTGGAACGGAACCTCTGACGTGTCAAATTGTCGCCATTTTCTTGAGGAAGGAAACGCCTTTAACAAGGGAGGAAACATCAACTGTGTAAGTGTGTAAGCAATGCCTTTTATGAAGACAATTTATAGATTTCGCTTGAACGCACTCGTTTAAAAAGCCATCAAAATCGTCTTTGTGACGGCGGTTGTATAGATATTCATGACGCGAGGAGAAAAACGGTGACCGGCTGCTGAGAGCTAACTTTACCGAGTGTGCTAGCTAGCTGTTAGCTAACTTATCTGAATCGATATCTGAATTTACCCTGTTATCACATCGCGCTCTCACGTGCGTCCGTATACCTTCTGTATTACGTAATCATAGAAAAAATTAAATAAGTATATCTGCATGTTGGTAAGTAATTTTCAATACAGTGTCGAAAATTATAAACCGGTTGGACGAGTGTTAGCGTCGTACCTTAGCATGCTAACGTTGTTTGTTTACGTAGGTTAGTCGGACAGCTTTTTGCATTGCACCATGGTAAGCTAACTGTTAAAGTACTCGAGTGAGCCGCGTTGGGTCGTTATTTGCCATAAACGTCGAGGTCTTAATATTTAACGTTAGTTACATTTAACATTACCGATGATACTTAAGGCTTAAGATATTTCATTTCCGGTGTTTCGGTATATCAAGCGACCCTGTTAACTGGCGACTTTCAGGCGAACGCGTGTTTTGTTGAAAAAGGAAGAGAACACACAAGTTTTAGTTTTTCATTACAACGTCAAAACAAACAAAATTCGAGATCGTATATAAGTAATAAAACAGTAAAGACTATTAACTAAGTAAAAAAGTACTAAAACAAATCCACAATAACTAAAATATAACTAAAAGTTGCTCTTCCTTTGAAATAATGAAGTTTGTAAATACACATAATCGCCTTTAGGAGCCTGTTTTGGGTAAACATTAATGACTGTATTGTGAAATGTTTTTCGATATAAGCATGTGGAAGTAATGAAGTTTGAATATCCTGCATCAAAAATAAATGTTCGAGACTAAAATGCATACAATCGAGTTTCCTCCACTGCTTACAACAACAAGCCAGGAACACGACAAAATGGACTTACATACAGCTAATTGATTAATTGACAAATAGTTTAAGCTCTACTTGCATACTATATTATTAGCCATAGTCTTCATACTGAATTTATCTGTTGTTTCTTTTAAGGTTTGTTTTTTTTAGCTGAAGTAGGTCCCCCATCATCAGCCGCCATGGGGAATATGTTTACGCAGGTCTTTAGTAGTTTGTTTGGGAAGAAGGAGATGAGGATCCTTATGGTGGGTCTGGATGCTGCTGGAAAGACAACTATTTTGTACAAGTTGAAACTTGGAGAGATTGTGACTACCATTCCCACAATAGGTAACTCAAATATTGTAAAATATTGATGTCTTCATGTGTTTTGTGACCATATCACTGTCAAATGAGAACTTATGTGTACTTGATGTGATTCTTTGTTTTTGTTTTTCGTTCAGGTTTTAATGTGGAGACTGTAGAATACAAGAACATCAGTTTCACAGTATGGGATGTTGGTGGTCAAGACAAAATTCGCCCGCTGTGGCGTCACTACTTCCAGAACACACAGGGTATGTATAGTCATGTCACAACTTTAGTTTTTGACATTTTGGGGGATTTAAATAGTTCACTTTGTTCGGGGTTTTGTTGTATTCACTACATTTCCACTGCATTGTATTTAAAAGATACAGGACACGTCACACACTCATTCATTTGTTTTCCATTTGCTCTTGTTCTAGGTCTCATATTTGTTGTGGACAGCAACGACAGAGAGCGAGTTCAGGAGGCTCGTGAAGAGCTCGCACGGATGTTGGGAGAGGACGAGTTGCGTGATGCTGTGCTATTAGTGTTTGCCAACAAACAAGTAAGTCATAAGAGTGACATTTTTCGATATAAGCAGGCGTATATAGTAACCACTTTTCTACACGTTTTTCCTGTTGTGCTCACGTTGGCTTTAATGTTTTGTTTGCTCACTGTTTTATTGTTTGTAGGATCTTCCAAATGCTATGAATGCAGCAGAACTCACAGACAAGTTGGGTCTTCACAACCTACGCCACAGAAACTGGTACATCCAGGCGACCTGTGCCACCACCGGGGATGGCCTATACGAAGGACTCGATTGGTTGTCTAATCAGCTCAAAAAACAATAATCACCGGCCATCCACCCAATCTCAGACCATGCTCTCGACTCCTAAAGTTTTGCAAAACTAAGTTACCCTCTCCAAAAAGAAGTACTGGAAGTTTCCCTTACCTCAGCGGTTATTGTTATAAACATACAGGCCAGTGGTGGGGATGATCTATTCTTGTAAAGCTGTCAGGTTTTATTATTTTATTTTATGTAACTGTAAATATATTTGGTAATGGGGCAGCTTATTGCACTCTACAGATCCTGTCGTGGTTATTTCTCTTTCGGGCTGATGGGCAGCCGTGTGCGCATTGAATAATAAAAGGGAGGTGAGGAATAAGAATTTACCAGCGCGATGGCCCAGGACCTCAATGCAATCTGATGACTTATTATCTGGTCACACGTACAGTAGCGGCTGATGGGCTTTTAATTAAAAAAAACTGACTTAAACACTGATGCACTACTTGCAGCCACTGTGGTTATTTTAACAAGTGACTGCATGTACCAGCCCAGCCCCCCCCCCCCCCCCAAAAAAAATTACCAATTAGTAAACACAGGCATGGCCTCTTTGTACCGAAATCCCCCCTTTTCCAAGCTGAAAACTCCTGTCTGTGAACACGTACCAGCCTTTGTTATACAGTAAGTCGAATTGAGAAATGCTGCAACAATCTCACATCTACCTGCTTCACGGTTGTTTGAAAGGCAGTATGTTGAGACAGCATTGGGTTTTTGTATTTTTGAGTCTCAGGTTTATCATGTGCTGCCTTTGAAATATACTTGTTAGCAAAACTGCATGAGGTGGTCCGTTGGTCTTTAGGGTCATATTCACTGGGTGTTTACATCATTAGGCTGCACAGGAACCATTCTTTCAACAGCCCTAGACTGTGGCTTGTGTGTACTGTGTTCGGTAATTGTAACTAAAGAAGCTGCACACTACAACGGCCCTTCTGTCTTTACTAAAGGCTCACGTAATTCATGCCTTTATTTAGTTATCACAATCTGAGAAGTGGTGTTTTGATGGCAATACAAAATCAGTTTCAACTTCACGTTTAGCGTAGTGCTGGTATTTCTTCCTTTGCAGCACATTGTGCTTGGGGGTAAATGAAAGGCTGAACATACGCCTTCTTTATCCAAGACACATGTCACCTTTTATTTTCCACCTTTCTTTTGGAAGAGGTGTGGGTGTTGCTTTACTGCTCCGAACATGTCTGGAGGGTGCATCAAACAGTTTTTTGACTTATAACTGCCTAAAATTGTGAGAACTATGTTAATCTCTTACTTAAGATTGTGTGGTTTTTTTTTTTTTATGTAAAGCATTTGTTTTGTGAGGAAAAAGCACTGTAATTAAAGTGACTGGAGACTTTTTTTTTTTTTTTTCTGCAACTGATTTTCATTTTCACACTCTATGCAATAAAACTGCTGAATGTTAAGGTGCGTAATGTAGCTTCTATCGATACTTTGTAGTATTTTGTCATTTTAAATTGATGCAATTAAAACATTCACACCTAAATTTACTACTTTTATATAAACACTAGTGCTGAATGATTAGTGAATCAATAGAAAAGTAATTAACAAAAGTATTGTTTTGTGTCATTTATCAAGCAGAACATGCCTGATATTCTATCTGAGCCTCTAAATCGCTCCTTTTCACTTCGGACATTTTGACTTGTCATAGCAGGAAAAGCACAGGTGATACTAATAACACTAACGATGGCTCTGTTGTGTGCAAGTGCTCCAGTGAGAATAACGAGCTAGGATGCTAAGTGAAATTCAGCCATCATTCATTTCATCCTCTGAAAGTCAAAATGTCTTCTGTGAGAAAGGCCTTCTGAGAGTGCTTTTCTGCTAAATACAGTTTTTCTATTTTAAAGGAATTCATTTTTCCTGAACAAAAAAGTTAGTTTGTTTGGCGGACCAAATGAAGCCACATGTGATGGCAAGTTTTAACAATTATCTGACATTTCATTGGAGTGATTAATAAAACAAATAGCATTTATTGCATCCCTGGCAGAACAGTAATACACTTAAGGAAACAATACTAAAATTGAATAACCCAAAAACCTGGCGTCGTAGCAGCCCGTCGGGGCCGTCACCCTTTGACCCAGAGAGAAATGTGACGTAAACCACCCAATGTGTGGGTCAAAGCAGTAATGTGGAGCGCACACCCTGTTTCACATTGTGTAGGGGCGGCAATCTAGGACAGCATTCTTGCAGGTTGATTAGGCTGCTATGGATAATGCAGCCAAGCCTATAAAACATGGCAGGAAAGTATGGTGGTGGGAGGGGAGGGAGTGGGAGTCCTGGGTCCCTCATAGGGCTGCTTTGTGTGGGCTCCTCTCCTGCTGCTCCGTCAGCTTGGTTTGTGTGTGGCAGTCTAACGGTGCTCGGCCATATAAAAGGACCAGCCTGGTTTTTTGCACTCTTCTCTATGAATGCCTTGCTCTTTTTTTTTTTTTTTTTAAGTGCACCCCCCAGGTGCCAGCCAGCAGAATACCCTCTTTCAGACCAATTCAAGGCAAATGCAAACACTACACTCTATTATGACCAATGAAGAGCATTCCAACGGTAGCGCACCAGACAGGGAGCCGAACCTAGAACGGTGAGGGATTAAGGAGCGCTGGCATCATTGAGAAAAAGAATATTGCAGCTGCTGAGTAGTGCAAGAGGCACAGTGAGATAGAGGACAGGTACAAGGACCAGCAACATGGGACATTTGTAAAGAAAAACCTTAAAAGAAACAAACTTGACTCTTTTCAAACATGGGTGTGACTTTGCAAGAAGCAGCTGCAATGTCCTATATGCTGATGTAAATGATATAAACTGCTGTGCTGATGACACAACCTTTAAAAGTTTCAGCTTTGCAGAAAAGCTGCCAAATGTGACACTTTTTAAAAAAAATAGAAATGTTTATATAAAAAGGACAACACAATTTGTACAATTTTTTGTGAGATTCTTTACTTTGCTGTTGTAGACATGGAGCATCAGGAAAGTCTTTTCCTGGAAAAATCCTATAGCGTAGAAGACAAGACAAGATATACATTTATTCCACGAGTTAATTCTCAAACAATGTAACAGTTCCCAGGGCCAGACATTGTAACAAAAGATCAGTTTTATTTGCTAAATATTTTACCTTGCATTGTATTTTACAAAAAACTAAATCAAAACATATGACTATATAGAAATATTTAGGGGTTTAAATCACATAAAATATGTTTAAAAAATTAAAAACATACTCCATGTCAAACACAACCCAAAAGACACCAGTGTCCCATGACTAATTGACCGACTTATTGGATGTAGACACATAAAGGCCGAAGCCTGTGAGTCAGACACATCGACCTCTCTCCATCTACAGTCCGTTCGGGGTAAATGGGGTCTTGGGGGGGGGGTCAAGCCGCTGTAGAGCTTTCCGTCCGTGTTACGAGTCTCGGAATTGAGGGGGTGGGGAGGACATCAGTCGTCCGAGTCTGTGTCGTGGCGCCGCCTGTGGCTTTGTGTGCCACCAGCAGGGGCCGTCTTGTGGCTGACAGGGTTACGGGGGACAGGAGGCCCCCCATCAGAGGAGTCTGTGTCATGCCGCTGCGGTCGATGATGGGGGTAGGAGGGCTGTCGCTCGGCCTTTGCTCCCCCCCTTGAATGGCTGTCATGGGGTCTGGCTCCACTCTGACTGTGGCATGATGGATTATGATGATGGTGGTCCTTTCTTTGCCTATAGAGTAAAAAGGAAGCAAACGATCAATGACTGGGCTGCGGTGAATCGGGTGAGATGTTATGAGGCTGGAGTTAAAGTAGCTGCCAGATGAGCTTTATACTGACACCCACAGAAAACACTTCATGACACCTGTAAGTTCATCTACTGGCTGCTGTGTGGACAAGTGACCGTATATTTACCAACGCGCAGCATTAATTCTGTACACTACCATCATATGCTGATGCTCCTCTCTCACCAGGGCATTCATTCATGAACATGCACCCCACATGTAAAAGGTAAAGCTTCAAGATGCTGTGTGTAGGACAGTGCCTTGGTGCCCTCTAGTGCTGGTAGATGAAAGCTTCTGATTCATGTATAAATGTGCAATGTAGTTTACCAAACAAAGCAATGTCACTATTTAATGCAAACTTTGGAGAAATAATAATGTAGGAATAATAGCGTGTAATAATTAGATGTGGTTTAAAACATTGAGGTGTTCATTATGTGGGAACATGGTTGTTTTTTAAACCAATGCTTTGTAGTGTTTCTGTTAAACTAACCGTTTTCTGTCATCAGAGTCTGAGGAGGACGAGTCTCTTCTTTGCCGTTTCTTCTTCTTTTCTTTCTTTTTTTTCTCCTTTTTGCTCTTTTTCTCTTTCTTCTTCTTTTTGCTCTCGTGCCTGCAGAGTAAAGAAAACAAAAAAAGTTGCAATATTATTGACGTAAACATGGAAAATGGATACAGGCTGACGTTTTGTCCAGTAGAACGGTGTATAGGTGTTCATTAAGTTATCTTAGGTGGTATCTTGATATAATGCACACTCACCGTTGGTCCATATCCCCCTTTTCTACACTCTGAGAAGTCTTTGATGTTGAGGTTTCGGGACAAACTTCTGTTTTGTGGTGCTGTAAAGAAAACATTAATAAAATCTTTGCATCAAGTTTTAGATCCAATAAAAGAAACTCCTAAAACTCTCAACTGTTAAAGTCCCTGCACTACCCACGATAGATATTCAGGCCTGTTTTCCCGTCCATCAGACTGCTTTGCCCTTATAAACATCTTAAAATGTTCAGGGACATTTTGGTATCGAGGAGAAGAACTTACTGTAAAAACAGGCAGGCCTATTTTAGCGGCCTCCTTTTCCTTTTGGGAGAGCACCATTTTCCTTGACCCTGCACTGCAGATGAAAACACTCATTTATAATTAAGTACTTTACAATCATAGTGCATTAAGACAAAGGGCTCTCTTGCCACTTGGATGTCAAGAGGAGCATTTTAATGAGTTTTAACAGGACAAATATAGAACAGATATTGCCATATTTCCTCCCAATATGTTGTTTGCTCTAAAACAAACACTGTTTTCAAGATAGAAAGACCTCACAAGTATTTAAAAGTAGGACCTTTAATGGACTGACACCCTGACATTTCTGAAATCCTGTGTTTACATGTGACAACAACAATTCAATTAGCAATTTTCTTAAGAAAAAAAAAAATCACCTGGAGCTTCCCAAGCCTGAGACACGGTCCACATCTCTCTCTTCACCATCAGCCTCTTCCCTCCGGCAAACATCTGCAAGGTCCTGGTTTCAACATGGGGAAGATTCATTGGATTTTTCTTTCTTCTTTTAATTAAGGCAAGTTAAAGATATTCACAAGCTTCTGAGTGAAAGCAGTACCAAACAAAGTGGCATACCTCTTTGGTCAGGCCAGTCGGTTGCCTCTTTATATTCCTGTGCCCTCTAGATGGAGAATGGAAAACATAAATTGATAACGTTTATTGACCCACGCTTGCGTTTGTCAACCATTTATTTTATGGGACGGTATACGTACAGGGCAGCCATCAGTGCCTCGTGCTCTGCAGCCTTGACAGCGGCAATTTCGTCCTCTTTGGTCAAAGGTTCACCGGTTTTCTTATCTCTCGAGTACCATGACAGATCCTTGCCTTTTTGCCATCGCCCAACTGGTGCCATCAAAGAGTTCCCTGGTAACAAGACGGAAGAATGAACTGATCATTGCAGCTTTATAAAGAGGATGGTGTTTGTAGGTACTGCACAAACTAAATTGGGGCAGATTTGCACAAACTAAATTGGGGCAGATTTGAACAAACAAATCGATGAAGAACTTTGGCAATAAGTAACTTAGGGAAATACACATTTTTGGTTGAGTCTTCTCCACAGAATCACCTGATTATCTCACCATACTTAAAAAAAATAAAAATATGCTGTTGATGAGGCTGTATCATCTGTGGTAGCAATAAGCATCTTTAATGTACGCATATCGTGTGTTTACACGACTTCATGTGCCAAAATCACTGCCATTTGTTTAACAAAAACGTGTATATCTGCGTGCTACGTAGTTCTTGTTTGGTGTGCTGACATGTCGCCAGCAGTGTGTGCTCATATAGCAGAGAGGCTACGTGTGTCTCTGTTTGCTCTAGGACCTGCTGTTTGTAGAGTGGAAAACAGGACTAACACCAAGGAGCCAGGCACGTGTAATGAAGGGCTTCACAACAAAAGGTACGGAAAAGCAGCACGTGGAGTACCGAAGCCATGGCGTGCAGTTAACTGATACTAAAAAGCCTGCTCAGTAGTTTGCAAGTTAGCAAACAACTATTAGCAAGTGCATCTGGTTAGCGCTGACTTGGTGATAACCAGTTTTTTGAACTTACCAAGATAATTCTCTCTGTGTTTATCGACTTTCACGTCATCCCAGTTGAACTGGTCCTGGCCTCCTCTGACCCCTCCAGATCTCGAGGAACCGAACATTGTAGTCGGTTACTTTTGGAGACTTTTAGAGAAGAAGCGGTGTACCGTTAGCTTCACCAGCTGACTTTAGCCACGTTAGCACACGAGTAAGCGCGAGGCTGGGCCTTCAGCGTCCACTCATCCGGGTACTTTTGTGGTAAGTTTTCTTTCCTTTTTGTCGATCGGCACAACGTCTTTCTTTGCGGTGGTGTTTACCTAAACCATTCAAACTGACACCATTAATTAATTTAGCCACTTATTTCATGAAAGATGTGCAGAGCGTGAGGGGAATAATTGGATAAACAGCGTTCAACTGAAGCTAGGTTACACTATTGTAGCTAACGTTAAAATTACGACCTAAGTCATAGCTACAGTCATGAGAGTGCGCTTTGTCTTCCCGTTAACGTGGGAACTACAGCCGCCAGTGAGTTTTTTATATATATATTTAACATTAGCTGCCTTTGTATCGTATATTATTTTAGACTAATCACAACAACACTCCGCGTGTCTGTTTTGACCTCCGTATTCCCGATGTCCGCGAACGCAACGCGTCGATGTTTTGACCCGCAGTGATGACGTAGGCAGCACAATGTTTCCTTAATGGCTCTTAACAGCAAAGGCAAAGTACAGAGGAGGGAGAAAATCCCCCGGAGACAGAGCTAAAATCTCGGACTAACGTAACTCCCGATGTACACGAGATATTTCTCCAGGTTACTGTCAGGTAGGAAGCAGGATAGCATGCATATGTCTCTTTTGTATCATGTGTGTATTGTCTTCCATCATCACTGTAGCCAGCACTGCCAATCATGTCCTTGGGTGTGAGAGGAGTCGGATTGTTCCTGCAGAGGAAGAAGATGGTTGTGTTAAGTTTAGCTGATGCAACGTTACCTGTCGTTTAATCATCTTTTAATTAGTCCTTGTAGATGGAAGCCAGCCATCAGGGATAACTTTTCTAATGTGTTAATAACTTTTAAAAACAATCTTATAAATATCTGTTGTTTGTATCTCAGCTTTTGTAAAAACTGCAAATTATTTAAAAGATCCTCAGTATTGCCCTGACCAAATGTACATTATTAGTTTCAGCATTTCCATACAAATCTGCATGCAAATTCTTTCATGGTGGGAGTCAAAGGGCACTTTGCAATGTCTGAGATAGTTAGAAAATGCTGACACAATTTGGCAAATAGAGTGGAGGTTTCTGGAACTACTTCACCTACAGAGTCTGCAGAGTTAAAACTCCAGCAACACTTGTAGTATAGAGAACAGGGACACAGGAAGTCCACGAGCTGAGATGTGTTTTACAATAACGTTGTTCTTGCCTATGCTACACGTGTGACACTCACTCTATAACTATAGAATATTCTGTATGCTATATGTAGACAGGCTATAGGGAAAACAATGGAATGAAGAGAGCACAGCATTAGACTGAATAAGGACGAGAACTGGTTGAACATGTGCCCACATAATCCCCAAATCGCCTGTTTCTAGGTAAATTGAACTAACAACACTGCTGTTTTGACATTACATACTGTGTGTTGTGCTTTCCAGGGCTGCAACAAATGATTATTTTCATTACTGGCGAGTCCTATGAATGAAATTGTTGGCAGAAAAGTGCGAGGAAAAAAAATTCCGATCACAAATCCCCAAAGCCCGAGGTGACATTAAAATAGCCTTTTTTGTCCAACCAACAATTCATACCAAAGATATTCAATATATTAAATAAAAATAGGAGCAGTCGATTGTCACATGTGAGAAGCTGGAGCCATGAAATGTGAGCATTTGTATTGTATCAGCACCATGAAGCCTGTATCAGACCACTGAGACCTGATGGGTTTCACATGACTTCAATTTAGTTTCAGGCAAATATCAATCACATGGGGTTTAGTGCACATGGTTAAAGTCGAGCACGGTGTCATCTCGAGGTGATTGTGAACTTGCAGTAACTCATTTCCTGTCACGCAGCTCAATGTCGAGTACAAACGGTTGATTCATGTGTGGGTTTTGGATTTTATGTACCTGAAAGTTTCAGAAGCTTTGTCAAGACATTAGTAGTTTAGTTATTGTATCTTTGTTTTTTTGTGTATTTTTTTTGTCTGTAAAATGTCGAAAGTCTATTATTTCGACATTGCGTGTGTAAATGCAGAAAAAAACCCAGCCGGGTTTAAGGGTAGTGTGTGAGCAGTAAGCAGTTAATCAATTGCACAACAACTACAACGTCCTTAAGCATGCAGCTAACAGTGCGCCCACAAAAACTCTGCAGTTGGTGCAGCAGTATGCATAAATAGCCATGGACAGACACAGAGATGCATACACATGCCCGACCTCATTATCTCGTTGCAGAGATAATATTAATGATGAAAATAATAATTAGTTGTAGTCCTAACTGTTTCCCTATGGTAAGAGGAAGCCAATGCAATGGATTACTATTGGAGAATCCTGTGGTGGAGGGTTGTTGTTGGGGTCGGTACCCATTTCAGATCAGGGCTCCAAAACGTGTGAAGGCTCCTTCAGAGGCTTCTGCAAGAGGAACTGCTGCATCTTTAATTAGCCATGTTGCCTTTTACAAGAGGCAATGGAGAATGGCTCTCTGTCATTTGCACCTGCAAAGACGACCTCACTTCATCTGGTGTGCTTGGAAACAAGACGGCTCACATGCTATGATTTTTGCCTAGAAACAGATTTTGGAGACTAGTTTTATGTTTTTAAAGATTTGTTCGGCGAATATGTCCCCCTGTGTGATGACATCGATGTAAGTAATAGGCCTATAATCATAATGATTGATATTAGCTTTTCACTGTAGCTCAATTTAGCAGTTCTAGCTGGCTTCCTGTTGCTAATGTCTGTTTGGAAGATGCTCCCAGCTGACTGCATAACACAAACATTTAAATGACTGAAGAATGGAGGGTTGTCTCAGCCTTTTGGAGTAGAAATACAACACACCTGCAGGTCTTTACTATAATATTCGATCATTCTGGATAAATCTACTTGACATTTGAATAAATAATAAAACCTACTAGTGCGTTAACGTGGCCCCGCCCTCTCTTTTTCTCTCCTCCCTCCCACACTCTTACACACTCGACTTGTCCTGCACATGATCGCGCCCTCCCTGTTCACTTGAATTCTCCGTCTGCTTGAGCTCTGTGTGTATTGATTGACCAACGGTAAGGTGGAAAACTCCAGGCATCACTTTCTTTACTTGAGTAGCTTACTAAGAAATGTTGGTCACAAAAGAAATATGTAGAATATATGGCAGTATAGTAGTAAGAAGCTATTTTGCAAAGATGTGCACTACAATGACTATACTTACAGGTTTGTTGGTGATTGGATTGCTGCATAATTCAGTTAAAGGGAGTTTAAAGTTGTTTACTCGAAAAATGAGCCCATGTCTCTATAAAGAGTTCGTCCTCTTTAGCCTCTTGTGAGTCTTATCTCTTCTGTTCTTTCTTGCCTTCACAAGCAGAGAAGTGCTCTCCAATTAGTGAGTACTTGTCCCTGCACCACGGTAAACTCACGGCTTGCCAAGCCGTTGATTGCCTTTACTCTTGCCCTTGTGGGAGATGTTTTGGTCTCATTATTTGGTTGCCTTTAACAACTGCTGGCTAAGCATTTCATCGTGTTTATCCCACCAGAGTAAGGCTTGTCTGAGCATGTTAACCCGCTGTAATGTTTTTTAAAAAAAGTCTTTGCAAAAAGTATTTTTGGTCGGTAATGACTCATGCCATAAGTTTCCAGTGGATGCGTGTCACTCCTCCGGCCTCACCCTCTTGTTTCCTGTACTGAACTCTCCTCTGCGACTCTCCTTCCAGCTATGGCTGGACCCAGGCCTGTGGTGTTCAGCGGCCCATCCGGGGCAGGGAAGAGCACGCTGTTGAAGAAGCTCATGAAAGAGTATCACAGTGTCTTTGGCTTCAGTGTTTCCCGTAAGTATACCACTCTAGATAGAGTTTATTATGTGTTCTCAGGGAGGACTATCTTCTCTTATAAATGTCTTCTCGACCCTCAGATACAACAAGAAATCCTCGGGCCGGAGAAGAGAATGGCAAAGGTACAACATGTTCCTCCTCTTTCATGACCCCTCTAACAGGAAATCACAGTTTGTGAGTCTGTAGTGTTTTTAGCTTTCTTCATCTGTATTCATTTTTTGGGGGGGGTGATTTCAGATTACCATTACGTCACACGGGAGGTGATGCAAGCCGGAATCGAAAACGGTGAATTCATAGAGAGCGCGGAGTTTTCGGGGAACATGTACGGCACCAGTAAAGCTGCCGTGCAAGACGTCCAGGCCAAGAACCTCATCTGTATACTTGACATCGACATGCAGGGTGTGATAAACATCAAAAAGACAGACCTCCGGCCCCTCTACATCTCCATCCAGCCGCCCTCCATGGCAGTCCTGGTGAGCAAGAAGGAAATGCATTTTATTGAGTCGTTCTTTTGTTATTGTCCTGCCAGCGAGGTGTTCCTGGGTCTGACTTTCTGTTTGCTTTGTGCAGGTTTTATGATGTTCTGAATGCTTTCTGTTTTTGTTTCAGGAGAAACGTTTAAGAGACAGAAAAACTGAGTCGGAGGAGAGCCTCCAGAAGCGTTTGAAAGCAGCTAAGAAGGACATGGAGTTAGGTACGTGTTTTCTTTGTTTGCAAATATTAAATTACATAAGTGTTTAAAATGTGAGTCTAAACTGAATTATATGTCCTCCTAGGTAAAGAACCTGGAGTCTTTGATGTCCTAATTGTCAATGATAATTTGGAGGATGCCTATGGGCAGTTAAAATGTGCTCTTCTTGAGGTAAGACACAGTCCTTTATATTAAAACACTGCTTTAATGCATTCACTTGAGCATCAACAAATAGATTTTTGATACCTTTGCACACTGAATGAAAATGTTTTTACGCTGATAAGATTCAGGTGAAGGGAGACTGAGACTTTTTATAGAAGAAAAGCACGATCTGCCTCTTACAAGTGGAAAGTTGAATTGAATCCTCACCCAAACTGAGATCGTCCAATCATAGCCTTGCAACCATTTACTTAGCACAGCAGGCCTGCCCACTCTACATAGAGCGGTTCATAGCATCTAAACTAAGAGTTTGGAGAGACGGGGGTTGTTGTTGTTGTTGTTGTTGTTTAGCCTTTCCAAAAGCAAAAGTGTGAGGAATGGATTCAACTTTGTGTTCATCTGCTGTATGCAGTCTCGCCTCAAATGTCTTCGTTCATTGTTGTAGATTTCTCTGTATGGGTAACATTATAAAATATTTTTTTCCCTTCTCTAGGAAATAAATAAGGTCAAGAAAGTCAACATGTCTTCGTAGGGGACAGCCGCATCCTGACACCTTTTAGTCCCGTCCATCCACTCCTCACTCCTCAACCCCACAGACCTCCATTCCAGTCGTGAACATTCCCTCAGATGGTGGTCTCTGAAACTCCAACAAACGTCCCTTAGTGGATACACAAATATGTAGGTTTTATATGGTGTTTAGAGGTTATTATTTCGATTTATTAACACATGTCTTTTTTTTTCCTGACCTGAAACGCTTTACATATTATTGGTGTCCCTTATATGAAGAGAAGTTACTCCAATAATGCTTACTTGATATGTGGCTGGTATGTTATGCAGGGTGCTCTGCTGGACTGGGTTTACCAGGTTTTCCGGATATACTGCTTGCAGCCTGGACGAACACAAACGGGGTCACATGACTCTATCCACGATCTTTAAACAGCAGTTTATTCACATGATGTAATCAGCTAGTTTCTAGATATCTTGATAAGTGACAGAGAGTTATGCTGCCCTTGTGCCACCAGTCATATCGTGTCGATTTGAGAGATTTACAGAGATGGATAGCTGCACACGTTTAGTTCAGAGGGAAACTTGTCTAAAACTTCAGCATTACAACTGATTCCGTTTGTGAAAAACAAATATGGTGGCCGTTTATGTTCAAAGGGATGCATGAAAGTCTTTCCAGTGCTGGTAAATGCTGTTCTTTGACAGATTTTGTGTAAATTGCCACAGAAATCCATTATTGCATATGTTTGCTGGATAACCATGAATACTGTGCTCTAGTGAGATTAAATCCTCTAATACATAGAAAATGTGGCTTAAAACAAAGAAACAATAGATCATATATTGTCACTTAGAATATAGCTTTTTTTTAATTTTAGGTGGTATAAGAACAATTCTTTTTTTTTTTTTACAATTGTAAATTTGTAATTGTAATTTTTGTGTTGTGTATCTATCATTTTGCAGCTTCACCGGTACAGAAAAGATGTCATTCAGTGGATTGTTTTGATTCCTAACTAAAGGAGGGGTTTTGCAATTTGAAGGAAAATGAATGTCATGTTTTTCTTTTATATATTGCTCAGAATTAAGCACGCAGATCTTTAACTTGTTTGAATATCTATGACCAAGGTATACACAGGAATCCTGAGGTTTAATTTAATAACTTTTTAAGACCCGTTTCATTTATTTTAAGACCTCATTGCCACTTTGGATTGTAACCGGTTACATCAGGGACTAACTTTAACTTACTCTGCTATACATTGATTATAAGATAGCACAACTAAACACTCAGCAATACGCTCACAATCTTGTTCTCTATGATACAAACTCTTCAACTCTGTTATTTGGCTGTAATTTATAGATTCTTTGTTATTGTATTTGTATGTTATGGTGCAATTAAAGGAATTTGAGGTCAAGCATTTCACTTCATATTCTTGTACAACCAGTATTTGACCAATAAGCTTTGAACTTTGGTGAAAGTTAATGTATGAAACTTGCTAAAAAATATATATATTTTTCGACATACTATACTATGACTTTTAATTATAATGAAGTCTCTCCTGGTTGAATGACATATGACTGTTTTTGACATGCTGTACTATGACTTGTTTAAATTGAGTATCTTCAAAAATAAAGTAACTAAAAAAGTAACTTAAAAGTAAATAAAAAGTAACTTTTAGAATATAGTAACTTCAAAAAAGTTACTTATTTTACAAAGTAACTAAAAAAGTAACTTATTTTACAAAGTAACTAAAAAAGTAACTTTTAAAAGTAACTTTTTTTTAAAGTAAATAAAAAGTAACTTTTTAAAAAGTAACTGAGAATATAGTAACTTAAAAGTAACTTTAAAAATAAAGTAACTACAAAACATGCTATAAACATATTTTTTCTACATTTATCTGACTTTTTGAAGTCTTTTCGACATACTCTATAACTTTTTATTCGTTTTAGGCGCTATACTTTGCATTTTTATGTTTCGACGTACAATATGGCTTTTTTTACATTCTATACTTTGACTTTTCTTCATCATATGACATCATACTTAATTGATTTTTTCATAGACTACTGACGTTTAATTGATTTTTATTGATACGATACCATAACTTTCTTCTACATACTATACTGTGATTTTTTATTTTTTTTTACAAACTATATGACTTTCGACATAATACGTGATGTTTTATGACGTATTTTCGACACCATTGTACAGCGTTTGTGCTATGAGTAACAATTGTGAAAGAAACTGGCCATACTTATTATTTGCAGTACAACTATTTATTAGAACTGGGAACTCAAACTTTTTGCAAAAACTACACACATACAGTACAAGCAATTACAATCTATTAGTGTGTACATACATGATCCTTGTAACTGACTAAAAGACCTTTTAAAAACACCACAAATCTTTCAGGGGCAGGTTTTTCTTTCTAGTCACTATTTAATTTGAAAAGGTAGTAAATTCTGTGAGATCAAGTACTTTGCACAAACATTTGCTCGCCATCAAATACAACAGATCAGGTTACTCTCTATAAACACAAATCTGCTTTGGAAAAGCAAACGCATGCAGTCACTAATCTAAATATCTTCCGCTTACATATGTCCCTGTGATACGCTGTGAATTCACAGGTGATTGCACTTCATTACTAGACACAAAAATGTCAAAAAATTTGAGTGTAACATTCAATCAACGGTACAAACTTCCGTTTCACAAAAATAAACGACACATGCAGTCAAACACAGATCCAGTGTGAAACAGATTCACCTTCCAAGTGACTTGTAGAAATGACATATTTGTAAAAGCTGCTCACCAACAAATAATTCACAAACACCCAAAGAAGAACTCGTGTTTAATTTTCCCAAACTGATATTGAAAGTTTGACAGCACATCTTAAACTTAAACAGCCGATGGACCACAGAGGTCTCCAAAGTTAGGTTAATTGTCCATCATCAGTGTTGCATATGTATATTTAACACTGAACTAGAAACATAGACTTGACCTCACTAACTCCAACACTTGCTAATCCAGGAAGCTAAAGAACTGCAAAAGGCGACATTACTTCAAAGGTACAAAAGTAAAACCCAAAAAATATATATACCTAATTATACTGTATACTTATTTTGTTTGTGTATATAGCAATAGTCATCTCTAAGGATAATGTCTGGATCAGTTAGTATTAGTGGGTCAACGTTCATGATTTGGAGAAGGTGTGTTTAAGTGAAAAAATTTAATTCAACTTAAAAACAGACGTCAAAATAGTTCATCGGTAAAAAGTCAATCCTTAATTTCCTTTGTTTCTCCGTCCACCACGCACATTGTACAACACATACTGCACATGTCATTAAGCAGTTGTAACAAAGCAGTTTGGGACTGAAACAAGCTTACAGTAACATACCTACATTTTCCAACTCGCCTCGTCTAGAAACCATCTGACACTAACCACTCGTCAAGAAAAAGACTCAGAGAATGAGCTTTTTGTTCTGATTGGAAGCTTCAAAATGGAATGGTTTGTCAAATGCAGTAAATATCAGGATATGCCTTACTCATGTAAGTAGAAATGTCCCCATTTAAGACTAAGAGGGTTTTGTTGTACCAAATGAAATGGTTTGCTCCTACTTGTTCTGAGGAAGGTTATCACTAATTTGAAGAGTGACTGGGTTGCCCACTGATGTATAGCCGTAGGTCTGAGTTGACACTTTGGTTTTAAAGCTCTGCTGCCCCCCCTCAACTCTCTGCACCTCTGAGCAGTATGAAGGCTTCACTTCCAGCTTTGCGTGGCTCACTTGGATGGGGACGTGTCTCTCCGTCCTGGACTGGCCTCCGCTGGCTTGGGGCACTGCAGGTGAGAAAAGGCTGCTGGAGAGATGCTCCCTGAAGCGGCCGAAGAAGCCGCTCCTCTGCCTCGGGACCATAACAGGCCGCCCCACATTGAGGAGCACCGGTTGTCCCACTGCGGACCCGCCGATCTCCCTCTGGAGCACAGAGATCTCACAGGGCTTTTCTGCAGCAGGCTTGTGGGTGCTGGTGGAGCCGTAGGTCTCCCCTTCTTCTGGGATGTAATCCTCCAAGTCTTCAAGGGTCAAAACACGGCCGCCTTGTGTCAGAATCTTAGGCTCCTGCTTTCCGAGTGAGTTATGATCCTCGTCTTCATCATCAGGTTCAAAAATGATGGTTTGGTCATCATCTGGGTCCTCACTGTCCTCTTCAGCTAGAGTGAGGACAGATGAGAGCTCATGTGGCTCTCCAGCGACTCCAGAGACAGAATCAGAGGTAACACCACCCTCCTCCTCATCCCAGGAGAGCGACTGGCTGCTGATGTCCCCCTGCAGCTGGGCCTTGGCCTGCTCCACCAGCTTGTTGTTGGAATTGTTGGTGTTTGGGTTTTCCGGTGGAGATCTTCTGGGTCTGGAGGGAGTGGTTGCACGATCAGACCCTGCCGGTGAGACGCCCCTCCTCCTGGACAGCCTGGGAGATTTATTGATCTTATACTCGATGACCTCCTCCACCTCGATCCACCTGGGCTTGCTCTCCATGACTCTGGCTTCAGCACCCTCCGGTTCAGTCACATGGAGGGTTGGGATGCCGGTCTTTCTCGGAGTGGGCACCCTTCTCGGCCTGCCTGTGGGGAGCTCTGGGGTGGAGGTCTCCAAGCGGTGGGCTCCAGCAAGAGTCAAGCCGGGGGATTTGTGCCTCCTCATACGTGGGTTCCTCACCACAGTGGTTATAGTCTCCTCACTGGTGTAAAGAGAGAGCGCGAGAGAGAGAGAGAGACAACACAGACATTATAAAACTAGAGTGAAAAAGCTATCAGGCTGCATGCAGTTTACACACCAACGATTGAAGCTGATGGGCTTACATCGCCACTCATAATAAGCCAACAGTGCGAGTGACACTGATCTATGTAGGAAAAGCTCTTTCTAAGTCTGATGTTAAGTAGGCACTTCCCACATGCCACCATAATATTTGCTGCGCTGCATATTGTGTGTGTTGCTACAGAAGGAATACAAATGCTGTGTGAGGAGCTGCAGTAATAAAAGCTGCCGGTTAAAGAAGACAGCACCCTGGTGAGGAGAGCCCATCCTTTCATCACCCTTGTGTCAGAATCCCCATGCTTCAAATACTACACAACGATGCATAAACGAGGCCACAGAGAGAAGCACACACACATGCAAAATAACTATAAATCATCTTTAAGTACATTTCATCTTCTCGCCAGCAATATCTACACAGCGAGACCAAAAATAAAACATTCAATGCATCTGTATCACAGAGACTGCAGAGGAAATCTATCCTGAAACAAATACCTTTAACGATTCTTAATTTTTGACACATGATCTAAAAGTTAGATACAAAGCTCTTTCTTATAATCTAAGTGACATTTATTACCGAATTACTTAACATGTAATGCACAGAGGAGTTGTCGAGAGGATGAACTGATACATGGCTAAATATAAAGTATAAAAATATGCCCGTTCACTTACATGATGATGGTTTTCTTTGGTATCCTCGTCTCCTGTTCAGTAACTATGGGTGGAAGCAGAATAAATGAGATTTAACAGACAAAACCAAGCGAAGCGCAAACAATAGTCACATCTAGAGAACAAGATGCATGAGACGATTATGCATCTTTAACATCTGCATTAAAAGCAATGTTATTCAGAAGCTAAAAATGTGTGCATATTATACAAATAGTCTCGAGAGAGTCTGCTTGTGTGAGGGTTGAGTCAGTGCTCCTACCTTCGATAGTGATGGCCTGCTCACTATGTGTGCTGCGAGCCACAGCAGAGGGTGGAACGAGATCAGCAGCACACTTGGCGCCGCCCAGACGGTTAGACAACTGGCAAAAGCAGAGAATATATTTTTAGAGCCTCAGAGATGAGTTATTGTTGCTAATTGATATCAACTGTACTAGAGTCAAGATTTATACTTTTCTTCGTATACGTATTAATTGAATAACACTCTCATAAAGTTTGTGATTCAAGTATGAATTTTTGAATGTCGACCAACCTCGCACTCATAGTGTCCGAGGTCTCTCTCTGTCAGGTTCTTTATCACCAAGACCAGAACTCCAGTGCGGAGCTCGCTGTAGGTCTGATACTTTTCCTGGTCAGTCAGCAGCCTGCCATCTTTGAACCACCTTGATAAATAAACACAGCCAAGGACGAGAAAAAGAGGTAAACACAGAGGGAAACGGGAGTTTCAAAGGACACCTTCTGAATTTAATAAAAATGTTCGGCAAATCTCATACCTGATCTTGGGGTTGGGGGCGCTTTGTATGACGCAGGTGAACTGAGTGTCCTCACCGGCAACAAATATAGCATTCCTCATTTTGTTCACAAAACGAGGAGGCACTACAAGAAATATGTCAAAATATAATCCATGTTTAAATACTGGTTTCACAAAAATCTATTAATTCCAAAA